AAAAGGACACATTTAATTTATAATTTGTCTTAAATCTCATTTTGTAAAAAAAAAAATCATGAATCGAATCGTGAGTTGAGTGAATCATTACATCCCTAATGATAGCCATTTAATAAAAACATATTATAATGCTTACATTTCCTCAGTTATTCAAACAGCAGCGACAGAAAGCGAGCAAAGAACATTTACACCATCAAAGAATAATCCCTTTAAAAACACTCCCATTACAGTCAGTGAAGCCGTCTACACTGTACGATGAATAAATCTCTTATTCTTACATCGCACGCACATCTGCACTGTGTTTATGAGGAGAGAATTCGCGAGAGAGCACTGAACAAAACTCTGGTGTCCCAGCGATGACTCATCTGAACGCCGCTGCATTCATAAACTCAACGGAATCGTGTGATTGGTTACTGTAGAAATATGATGGAACAAATAAGCCCTAATATTAATTAGATATGAAAATACTAGCCTGATGATGACTGTCGTCGCTCGGCTTGTTTGTTTCTGATGTAGAGATCGGAGGAAGGATGACAAGAACAGAAAACGCTCAAAAACTCCACCCAAGAGCTACAGCAGCGCCAGACGCTCCCGCAGCACCAGCCGGTGAGTGGTGAAAACACCTCCCAGATTCAGCTTTCATTTATGAATTCTGCTTTAATGGTTAAATAAAATTGTAGTGATCAGAAAGCCAAGTCTGGTAATAACCAGACTGTATGTCACACAAGACAAACCCATGTAAACCCAAGGAGAAGAATTGCCTTTGTGATTTATTTATTTATTTTTTAGAAACTACATTAATGGACATTTTTTAAGTTCCTCTAAGGAAAATATTAGAATTGATCCATTTCTATATATTGTTAAATTACTGCATATAATTCATTGAGTTATTATTGTTAAGACCGTTTTAAATTGTTACTTTTGAGTTTTCCATTAATATGGCCTTTGATGCTGATATGGCATAAAATGATTAATTAAAATGTAAAAATTGTACAAAGTTTAACAAAAATAAATTTTTTAGGGCTTTATGAAATACTTTTTATATTTTCCCAAATTCTGTGATTTCGGTAAAAAAAACAACTAATTTTCCCTTTTGGTTTGCATTTTATTGGTTTAATTAAATTCACATCTTTACCTATTTAATAACAAGTTAATTTTTACACTATTAGGGCACTATGAAATATTTTGTCTTTCAGAAATTCAGTTTTAATTTCTAGATTTATGATTTAATACAATTTAATCTTAATGTAATCAAATACAAATTTAACGATTCTAATATTTAAAAAAAAATGTTTACGTTGTATTATTTTGGCTGCACAGAGGTTTACTGTTAAAATTAAAACATGAAAGAAAAAATTGTATTATTATCATTACTCTGAGAAGTACATTCTACTGTATAAAACTTGAAATTGTCAAATATTACTATTAAGACTACCTTTGAGTTTCAGACTTAATATTTCAGCAGAATATTAATTGTACAGCCCTACTTTTGATTTATTAATCTAAAATTGGACTCTGGCCCTGTCAGTTTGTCATTCCAACCTTGGGTTTTCACAAGTGCATCTTTAAAAGCACAATGATTAAATGTGGAAGTAGATTACCGTGGTTTAGATCAGATGAAAGCGAACGTCTCTTCCTCCAGCAAACGGCACAAGAGAAGTCGCAGCGCGTCTCGATCACCGAAGAAGCCACGATCTCCCAAGAAGAAACTGTCCCGCTCGCCGTCTCCTCGCAGGTATCACACTCACACACACTCACTCTCTCTCTCTCTCACACTCACACACACACACACTCACATACACACTCACTCTCTCTCTCTCACACACTCACACACACACTCACACTCTCTCACAC